TGTTTTGTTTTGTTTTGTTTTGTTTTGTTTTGTTTTGTTTTGTTTTGCTTTGTTTTGCTTTAATGGTCTCATTTTTCCGCGACTGCTCAGTGATCCGCCTCTGGGTAGGTATTTTTCATTTACTGCCTTAAGTACTCTGTGGCTCCTGACTCCTCCCTGGTGTTTTTAAACGGGTAGAATATTTTATCAAGTTTTAAAAAGCAGAGCACGCTTTAAAAATCCTGAGCTCATCTTTGGTTTTGTTGGCTTCCCCCTCTGCTGGTGGTTAAGGTTCAGCTTTCTCTGCTCCTCTGATTTAGCTGCTATTCATCCTTCTGAAATTCTGTTCATGCGCCTAGTCTGTCTGACTCTCCTCCTGCTGGGCCGTTGTGTTATTGTCACTTCAGTGAGACTCGGGAGGGAGTGAAGTGCCATGGGCTGTGTTTATACCGCTGTCCCCTGTGCACGGACACGCAAAACCCCCGGAAGGGAACCGCAGGGGCCGACAGGCACGTAGACCCTGGCCCGGCAGAGTCAGCACAGAGGTGAGCAGGTGAAGGAAGGGCTGTCGGTGGGGAGGACTGCAGGGAGTCCTGGGCTGGCCTGTGGCTGAGGGCAGTGCTGGCCGCGGGGGGGAGGGGGCCCCCGAGAGCTGTCCTTGGCAATGCCACCTACCCCGTGGGTCTCTGCCCCGGTACTTAGGCTCCTCGGCCCTCACACAGGGCTTCAGCAGGAACCTGCTGTCTCAGGAGCCAGTGACCTTTGAGGACGTGGCCGTGTACTTCACGCAGAACGAATGGGTCATCCTGGACCCTTCACAGAGGGCTCTGTACCGGGAGGTGATGCTGGAGAATTATGCAAACGTGGCTTCCCTGGGTAAGGCATCCCTTCTCCTTGCTGCTTTCGCCCTCTGCCCTTTGTGCGTCTGCTTTCTTTCCTCCTTAGACATCACGGCCTCTCTGACCCTCACGGGCAGTTGCTACGAAGGCTGAGCTTTCCCGGAGGCTCGTGGGTGAGGAGAGTTTCGGATTCTCAGGTTTTGGAATCCACTGTCCCTCTGACCCTGGGAAGGGGCTCTGTCCCATGCATGGAGGGAAGGGAGAGCTCAGCAGGGCCCCTGGGCCTCTGTCTTCCAAGCTCTCTGACGAAGATCTGGGGCTCCTTCGTGTGAGTGGGGGGAAAGGTTTTTTTTAACGTTTATTTATTTTTGCGAGAGAGGAGAGAGAGAGACAGAGAGAGAGCCAGCAGGGGAGGGGCGGAAGAGAGGGAGAGAGAATCCCAAGCAGGCTTTGCACTGTCAGCACAGCACAGAGTTATTCCGGGACTCTGCCCCCCTTTGTGGGAATTTTCTGTCTGTCCTCTAAGATGGTGTAGACTGACTGCTCTTCGTTTCCCTCCCTGGCTCGGCGAACGAAGAAAGGTAAAGACAGCCGGGAGGGGATGCTGCTCTCTGAGTCCCTTCACCTTTTGTTCCTGTTTCTTTCTCCTGGGCAGCTTTTCTATTCACCAGACCTGTGCTGGTCTCCCAGCTAGAGCGAGGGGAACTGCCATGGGGCCCGGAACCCTGGGAACCTGCGGGCAGGGAAGTCCTCGGAGGCATCTGTCCAGGTGAGCCTGAGAACCTACCAGCTGCCCATTTTGCTTAGGCTGCTTGCTTATTTTCCCATTTCAGTGTGTGCAGAGTGTTTCTTCTCTTGCGCGACTGTTTTCTTTCCTCTGGAATCATTACGCGGGATTCTGCGTTCGTAGTGGTAGCCGCCCCCCGCCAGACGAAGGGCCAGTCTCTTCCAAGGAAGGTATGGCTGCAGGACGCCTTTGCGTGTTTGGCTTTGCCTCTCCGCCCCACCGCCTGCCAGGGGATAGCATCCGGCTCAGCAGCTGTTGAACCATGACAGCCCTTTGGGGTCCTGTCTCATGGAAACAGTTAACTTTTCCACCAGTTTGTTTTTGCGGAGACGAGAATGTCAACCACCTTGGAGGGAAAATAGGCTTCTGCGGCCTATCTGGCCGTCCGCAGCTTCAGAATATGTTATTTCTATGGGGAAAGTTTTTTTTAATGTTTATTTATTTTTGCGAGAGAGGAGAGAGAGAGAGAGAGCGAGCCAGCAGGGGAGGGGCGGAAGAGAGGGAGAGAGAATCCCAAGCAGGCTTTGCACTGTCAGCACAGAGCCCAGTGTGGGGCTTGAAGCCACGAACCGCGAGATCGTGACCTGAGCCGAAACCAAGAGGTAGGCGCTCAATGGACTGAGCCACCCAGGCGCCCCACATGTTTTTAAAGTAAACTCCGCACCCAGCTTGGGGCTCAAACTCGCAACCCCGAGAGCAACGGTTGCGTGCTCCGCCGACTGAGCCAACCAGGCACTCCTCTATGGAAAATGAAATTACGGGTTCCCAAACACCGATGTAAGTAAAAAGAAAAAACAAAATTGTGTAATTGAAAAAGTTATTGGAAGATAAAGAAAAATTCGTTTTCCTAATGGGAATGGGAATTCGTTTTCCTAATGGAGGAACGCGGACATCAGCACGACACTCCCCCCCCCCCCCCCCCCCCCCCCCCGTTTCCCTTGCGTCAGTGGCCACCCGAAGTACGTCACCTTCCCTACACTTAGAAAGACTTTTTTTTTTTTTTAATTTTTTTTTTTCAACGTTTTATTTATTTTTGGGACAGAGAGAGACAGAGCATGAACGGGGGAGGGGCAGAGAGAGAGGGAGACACAGAATCGGAAACAGGCTCCAGGCTCTGAGCCATCAGCCCGGAGCCCGACGCGGGGCTCGAACTCACGGACCGCGAGATCGTGACCTGGCTGAAGTCGGACGCTTAACCGACGGCGCCACCCAGGCGCCCCAAGACTTTTATTTTAATAGCTGAACTCTCGAAGCAAAACTTGTTACAGAAGAACGGTGGACGACTTCCTCATTTCGAACGGTGTTGACCCAGGAATTAAAAGTAACAACCCACTGTATATTTTTGCCTCTGATACTCCGTTTCACCCCTCCTCCGCCTATTAACATTGGGGGGCTCTTCAGGCTTCACAGGGAGTGACCATGAATAATGCCCAGCTCCCCAGCTGCCCTCAGCCTTGTGTTAAGGTTGTGCCCTTTGGGTGTGATCCCAGGACTTCAGGCTCTCTGGGTAAACAGTGTTTTCTAACGCGCGAGTTTGCCCTGGCCCAGTGCTGAAGGCCATGTTAGCCTGCAGTAGGCCTTAGCGGCAGAGGGAAAGTAGCCTTTGGTTTTCTCTGTCTGGTTGGTTTTAGGATTTCACTTTCCTACTGCCGTATTAAACCCTACATACGGCCCGTGCAGCGTTTTAGAGAGAGCACAAGAGTCATCAGCAGGTCCTGTCCATCCTTAGAAGGGTTCTTCACATGCGCAGCACTCGCCCGTTTTAGAGGCAAGGCTCCACCTCTCCCGTCCTCCCAGCTGCCGTGGGGTTAGCCGGACCCGGTCCCCTCAGTCGCACCATGGGAGCCTGCTGCTTTGCTAGAGCCAACTTGGTGACAGAGACCACTCTCTTCTCAAAGATTAGGACATGGACAGTGTTGTAAAAGATGAGCAGCCCTTCGGGAATTTCCGTTGGGGGACCCTTTGCAGTTTGAGGTGCTTGGCCTGTCCTTTCTTTGATCTGCTGGATTTCCTCTGACCTCGGGGTCTCTAATCATCCCCTCTCTATGTCTGCCCTCTGACCTAACCTGTTCACTTGGGAGAACACCATTGGTCTTCCTGCCCTGCTAGGTCGCAGTCTTTGCCGTTCTCTAGTCTTTGTCCTCTTTATGGGAGTTCCCCCCGGCCTTGCTTGCCTCCACCCGTGGAGTCTTCATTTCACCTGTGGCACTCTGCTGTGTGGTGATGTTCGGTAGCCATTTTGTGTGCATGTTAGAAAATGGCCACACAGGGTAGATTAGAACCACTTGGCCCCGTTTCCCCTTCGGCACAAGTAGTTTCTTTTTGCGATATCAGAGGCTGACACTTGTGTGTTTTTGTTTTTGTTTTTGTTTTGTGATACAGAGCTCTGTAGCTCTGAGACCAGAGCTGAGAAGGAAGAGTCGAGCCCAAAGGAACACATTCCCGAAGAAACGGAGTCCCACAGACTGACGTTAGGAGGGCTACCAGGGAACGTTCCCCAGCACCTGGACTTGGGTTGCAGCCTAGAGCAGCAGCCTGGTCACTGCATAGCCAAGAAGACAAAGTCCAAGAGGAGAGCTTTCACAGATGGGCCAACCAGCTGTCGCGAGGCCTACGCCGTGGAGAGTGGGGAGAAGTGTGAGAAGTCTGGGGAAAACGTTAGTGTCAGCACACGAGTCTCTACAGATCAGACTGTTCCCGGTGGTCAGGTATCATACGAATGTAGAAGATGTGGCAGATATTTCAGTCGAGTGGCGGATTTTCAGGGATGTCACGCCGACGAAAGGTCTTTTAAATGCAAAGAATGTGGAAAAGCCTTCAGATATAACTCATTACTTATTCGGCATCAGGTAATTCACACTGGAAAGAAACCATTTAAATGTAAAGAATGTGGGAAGGGCTTAAGTTCGGACACGGCCTTGATTCAGCATCAGAGAATCCACACTGGAGAAAAACCCTATGAATGTAAGGAGTGCGGCAAGGCCTTCATCAGCAGCTCCGTCTTCCTCCAGCACCAGAGGTTCCACACGGGGGAGAAGCTCTATGAATGTCATGAATGTTGGAAGACTTTCAGTTGTAGCTCCAGCTTTATCGTCCACCAGCGAGTGCACACCGGGGAGAGACACTACGAATGTAAAGAGTGTGGGAAACGATTGAGTTCCCCCACAGCCTTGACTCAGCATCAGCGCATTCACACCGGGGAGAAACCTTTCGAATGTAAGGAGTGTGGGAAGGCCTTCAGTCAGAAAATCACCCTGGTCCAGCATGAGCGGGTTCACACTGGTGAGAAACCGTACGAGTGCGAGGTGTGTGGGAAAACCTTCAGCTGGTGTGGGCGATTCACCCTGCATCGGAAACTACACACGCAGAAGGTACCCGTGCAAGAGTAGGGCTGTCCGCAGCTGTGGGCGCCGTGCCTCCTTGTTTCTCCCCACTCTCATGCTCTTCGTCAGTACGCTCTTGACAGCGAGAAAGGAAACAAACCGCTAAGTCACGAGTGTACGAGGACGGGTAACTGGCTGATACCTCGCAGGGTTAGTGGTGTCACTGAGTGTCCCGCGAGATGGATGAGGGAGGTGTGGGAGGACCTCCATCAGAGAACACCACTGTGAATTATCAAGAGTCCAGGCTTAAAGAGGAGACGGCAAAAAGTTTCTAGAGAAAACAAAAGACCGGGAATGTGAATGCATTGGATTTCATAACAGCAGTCTTGAAAGTTAGAGGACCACGGTGTAGGCCTTCAAAATTCAAAGGGAAAATAACTTCCACCCAAAATTCAGTATCCCCAAGTGTGAGTTTGGGATAAGGTATTTCAGACCTTTTAGATTGGGAACGTTTATGTCCGATGCATCCCTTCTCAGGTGTGTGACAGCAAACAAGGGGTCACTCAGAAAAGAAATGGACACCCTGTCAGTGTCTTTATATTAGGAGTCCCCTAAACTCAGTAACAGAGGGCCCTTGTCCCTGTGGAACCATGTGCACGGTGGAGGACATTCCTAGTAGGGTGCACATTTTCAGAGACCTACCTCGGGTGCAGGCCCACCCACGCTGCTTACTCGTCAGTTACTTCTCACTACTCAGTTGCAGCCCGTGCCTTTGCAAAAGTTGGGGTGTATGTACCCTTTGAGTCAGATGCAAGGCCCTATTTATCATAAACTTATCTATCTCATTGCTGTTCTGTATCATGGAAAAAGTGACCACTGTTTTGTGTTACGTGTGGAAACAAGGTGAGGTGTCCATGTGTTCTGTTGTAGCATCCCTCTTTTGCAAGCCGCTTGACTTTACCCGATGCGGGAAGCAGAGTAGTGGGTAACAACACTGAGACGGGCCGGCTTTGTTCGGAGTCTTGGTGAAGTTACAGACCCAACTAGTTTCCTTAGTAAAATCTGCTGACAGTCTACCTCAGAGGTTTGTGTTGAGGATTCACTGCATTAATACATGTCGGAGTGCTTAGAACAAGGACTCAAACGTAATGAACAAAAGTGTTATTTATTATCATGATATCATTGCCGAGCTTTGCCGTCCGTGTGCACCAGTGAAACCGTCACCATAGTCAGGATAATAAACAGCCATAACCCCCCAAACATTGCTGATGCCCCTCTCCTAGCTTCCACAGCAGTTGCTGATCCGCTGTCACTTTGGATGAGTTTTGCTTCTCTAGGATTTTATATCAACAACGTATTGTATGTACTCTTACTTTTGGCCTGGTGTCTTTCACTCAGCATAATTATCTTGAGTCACCCATGTTGCATATGCGTTGTATCAGTGGTTATTTTCTTTCTTTCTTTCCTCTTTCTTTTTCTTTCTTTCTTTTGTTCTTTCTTTCTTTCTTTCTTTCTTTCCTTTTCTGTCTTTTTCTGTCTCTCTTTCCCTCTCTCTTTCCCTCTTTATCTCTCCCCCTCTCCCTCCCTCCCCCTTCCTTCCTTCCTTCCTTCCTTCCTTCCTTCCTTCCTTCCTTCCTTCCTTCCTTCTTGGCAGTATTACACTATAGATATACAAAAATTTGTCCATTTATCTCTTGATGGCCATTTGGGCTGTTTCCAGTTTTGGGTTATTATAAATAAAGCTGCTATGAACATTTGTGTTTTAAGTCTTTGTAATGACATATGCTTTTATTTCTCTTGGGTAAGTAAGAGTAGTGGAATGTCTGGGTCATAAGGTAAGTATATATTTACATTTTAAGCATCTTCAAAACTGTTGTGCAAAGAAGATGTATCATTTTATATCCCTGCCAGCATTGTATGAGACTTATATTTCCAGTCCATGTTTGGCTATGCTCAGTAGTGCCTTTTTTTTTTTTTATTTTTAGCTATTCTAATATTTACATGTGCTTCTTTGCCTTCCATTATGTCTTAGGTCCAGTGTCCATATCTTTTGCTTGTGTTTTTATTATTGGGTTGTTTTCTTTCTTTTCTTTTCTTTTCTTTTCTTTTCTTTTCTTTTCTTTTCTTTTCTTTTCTTTTCTCTTTTTCCATTTATTTATTTTGAGAGAGAATGAGCACCCAAGCAGGGGAGGAGCAGAGAGGAAGAGAGAGAATCCCAAGCAGGCTCTGTGCTGTCAACACAGACTCTGATGTGGAGCTCAATCTCACGGATCCTGAGATCATGACCTGAGCTGAAATCAAGAGTCTGATGTTTAATTGCTTAATTGCTTAATCCAGATGCCCCTCAAAAATTCTTTGTGTTTTTGTTTATTTTGATGGAGAGAAAAAGTGTTAGCAGGGGAAGGGCAGAGAAAGGGAGAGAGAGAATCCCAGGCAGGTACCTCACTCAGTGCAGAGCCTGCCTTGGAGCTCAATCCCACGAATGTGAGATCATGACCTGAGTCGAAATCAAGAGTCAGAGGCTTAACTGACTGAGCCACCCACGCACCCCTGGGTTGTTTTTATTGATTTTTGGGAGATCTTTTTTGGAGAGGAAAGGTCTTTATAGATTGTGGATACAAGTCCTTTTTCAGATATGTGATTTCTAAACGTTTTCTCCCAGCATGTGGCTTATCTTTTGATTCTCTTAAATCTTTTGAAGAGCAGAAGAGTTTAATATTGATGAGGTCCAATATATTAGTTTGTTCTTTTATGGATTATGCTTTTAGTGTCATATTTAAGAAATCTTTGCCTTACCCAAGTTTACAAAGATTCCCCCCCATTTTCCTTCTAGAAGTTTTATATATTTATTTAGTGTATTTAGAAAGAGCATGTGTGTGTGTGTGTGTGTGTGTGTGTGTGTGTGTGTGTGTGAAGGGCAGAGAGAGACAGAGAGATAATCCCAAGCAGGCTCCTTCCTGTCATCATGGAGCATGGTGCAGGGCAGGGCTTGATCCCACAAACTGTGCGATCCTGACATGAGCTGAAATCAAGAGTTGGATGCTTAACTGAGCCACCCAGGTGCCCTTCCTTATAGAAACATCATAGGTTTTATGTTTAGTTCTATCTTCAAAAGTTTTTTTATTAAAAAAACGTTTGTTTTTTTTTTTTTCTAGAAAGACAGTGGCATGAGCAGGGGAGAGAGAGCAGAGGGAGAGAACCTTAAGCAGGGCTCAATCTCATGACCCTGGGATCACAATCTAAGCCAAAATCAAGAGTTGGATGCTTAACTGAGCCACCCAAGTGCCCCTATTACTGTAGGTGTTCCAAGTGTCAAAGTCATACAGTGTCAGTCGTCCTATTTGTATTTTGTCAAAGTTGTTTTGGCCATTCTAGGTCCTTTGCATTTCGTGGATTTTAGAATGTTTGTCAGTTTCTATAAAACATATCCTGGGATTTTGACTGAGATTGTATGGAATCTATAAATCAATTGTGGGGGAGAATTCTCATCTTTATATAGTCTTTTGACTCAAAAACATGGCAAATCTCTCCATTTATTTGGATCTTTATTTCAGCAGTGTTTTGTAATTTTTACTATATAGGTTTTCACACCTTTTTCAGATTTGTCTATCATTTTTTGATGCTATTACGATAGTAAATTTCCAAATGTTCATTGATGTATAGAGAGATCTAACTGATTTTTGTGTTTTGACCTTGTATCATGCCACCCTGCGCGACTCACTTATTCTGATAACATTTTTTAAAAAATTCTGTAGGATTTTCTAACATTGAAAATAATGTTCATAAATAACCACTTTATTTTTTTCCAATTCTGGGTTTCTTTTTTTTTCTTGCCTTATTGCTCTGGCTAGTGGCTGGGGATAGTGTGTTTAGGTAGAACCAGTCCCTGTGGCATTGGCCAGGTGAGGGACATCCAGCTCCAGACTTTTAACTTTGCTGAGGCATGAGCAGACTCCCTGATAGCTGTAAGGGCCCAAGTGTCCCATCTCTCCGGGTTCACCTTGCTGCCTAGCTGCCGGCATGTCAGCACTGCCTGTACTCCGTCCCTCTGGTAAGGCTGTTCTGGGAAAGAATGGGACCCCTGTTGCTCGCTCCCAGTTTTCTTCTCTGGTTGCCCAGGATTCCAGTTATTCTCATAACTTGGGGATTTTTATTTGGGTCTACTGAAGCTTCCTCATTATTCTCCCTACACTGTAATACCAGATAGAGGAACTCCATGTCCAATATTGTCCCCGTTCAAGCTAGATCTAATTTTTTTTAAAAATGTTTTAATGTTTATTTTTGAGAGAGGGAGACACAGAATCCAAAGCAGGATCCAGGCTCTGAGCTGTCAGCAAAGAACCCGACGCAGGGCTCGAACCCATGAACCATGAGATCATGACCTGAGCCGAAGTTGGATGCCTAACTGGCTGAGCCACCCAAGTGCCCCAAGCTAGATCCAATTGTAGTAACTGGCTAATACTTTTTAAGGGTCTGTGATGTAGGGGGTGTGTGTGTGTGTGTGTGTGTGTGTGTGTGCGCGCGCGCGCGCACGCGTGCGTATGCACATATATGTACCCATCTCTAGATTCATGGTCGATGTTCATTTTGGTAGGTTTAGAGAAGGGACAGTGTGAAAATAGAAGTCCTCGTGCTATTGTTCCTGGAAACCTAATTAATTTAAAACAGTTGTACATAAGCTTTACAATAAAAATACCGTAAGTTTTATAAAATACATGGTTTCTTTGATGGGCCAAATCTCAGGGTTAGGCAGCCTCCATGTGGTCCCCAGTGATTCTAATCCTTGCATCCATGCCCTTGTGCATCTCATCTAATAATGTATTATGTCTGGCCTGTATTGGTAGTATATTGAGGTGATGACTTCCAAAGTGAGGTCATAACACTAGCTGGCTTTGGCCTTGTTTATTTTTAATTTTATTTAAAACTATATATATATATATATATTTTAAGCAAACACTACACCTAGTGTTGGGGCTCAAACTTACGACCCTGAGATCAAGAGTTGCATGCTCCATCCACCGACTGAGCCGGCCAGGTGCCTCTGGCCTTGGCCTTTTGGACTGTGTACCTTAGGTGGAACCTTGCAGCCATGTGGTGAGGACACCAGCTGAGTGCAGAAGCCTATGTGGGAAGGGACTGAAGCTTCATACCAAAAGCCAGTATGAATCTGCCAGTCATGTAAGGGAGTCATCTTGGAGGCAGAGCCTCCAGGCTCAGTCAAGCTTTCAGGTGAGTGCAGCCCCAAGTGACCCCCGAATGGAACTTTATGAGAGATCCCAAGCTGTTACCTTCCAGCCAAACCACTCCTGAATTCCTGGTGCACAGAGACTTTGAGAAATTACTGTGTATGGCTTCCAGCCACAGAGTTTTGGGGGGTAGATACGTATTGTACTCTCCGGGACGGCACTTCCTGATGCTATAGTTGGTCAGTAACAGCCTAATTCCTGTGGAAGTGTGACAGCACTCAGCCGGCCTTAAGGGTTAACTTGCTTCAAGTTAACACTCCTTCCTTGCTGACCTCAGGCCCTTGGTCTGTAACAGAGCTAATTTACTTTGAGATTTGCAGACCACTGGCCCTGAGGAGTGAAGAACCAAACCTGCCCAGGCCCCAGAGGCCAGCAACTCTGTTTGAAGCCACCTCGGCTTTCTGAGGAGTCCAGCGATTTTTTTTTAGGTCACACAAATGATTTTACCAACCTCCCTTTGTATCTGTAGACCTTGCCCTCCTTTGCGGAAAGAATAGAGCACTCCAGCGCATCGTGAAACAAGAACCAGACCCCCACGCACAACCCTTGAGCACTGAAAATGTTTGTAGCAGGCATCTTCAAGTCAGCACGTGATCAAGAAATGCTAGAGGCCACTGCACTCCCTTCGCTGATTAACTACCCCAAACCTCTTAAAGACGCCCTGGACCAGGCAGAAACCTGGGTTTAGGGCAAAAGCCTGCCTTCTTCCCAGATTGCGGGCCTTCTGAAAAAAAGCTCACATTCCTTTCCTCCAGACAACAGGCAGCCAAACTTGGGTTTGGTAACAAAAGGAGCAGAAAGTCCCGTGATAGAGCCAGACATCCAGGATCCTTCCATTTCCTAGCAGTGGGAGGCGGCGCGTGTCAGAAAATGTGTTCAACAGAAACATCAAAGTAAAGGTCTGTTGACTTTGGGAATCGTAGTGGTCACTGGAGTACGTCTACCCAGTGATTTCAAAAGCTTGGTCATTGTATTAAGGGCACTGATTGGCCGACGTTCACGGGTGTTTGCCAC